GCTCGGTGAGGGGAGTGCTGGGCCCACTGCTTTTGTTTATTGTTTGCTTTGTTTGTTTTGTTTTGTTTTTCCTGACTAAGCCCTTTGTTCTTCTTGTTTCTGGGGGAAGATCAGGTTCTTCGGCTGGTCTGTAGGGAGCCCTCCCTGTGACCAGGAAATCCCGAGTCAGCAGGACCCTGTCTGTTTGTCTTTCATCCCCATTCCTTGCTACTCCGGGGGCCACCCCAGCAGCATTTCCCAGGCAGCCTGTCGTCAGCCTCCTCCCTGCAGCCTCCTCCTGCACCCTCTCACAAGACGCTGGGGCCTGGTGCTGAAGGACTTACAGGGAAGGAATGTCGGGCTCCTCTGGGCCGGGAGCGCACCTGCGTGCAGGGAGGTTCCTGTTCCGCCACATTTGGCCCCCGGGCACCGCGGGTGAGTGCTGCTGCAGGAAGGAACGAACAGGAGCGAGGCACTGCTCCCGCAGTCTCTCTCCCCTTCCCTCCTCTCCTCCCACCTCCCCTATCTCCTCCATCCCCTGTCCCCGCCCCTCCTTGTCCTCAGGAAGCCATACCCCACTCTGGTGGAGGGGCTCAGGCCGCCGGTGAGGGTGCTGGGGCGGGGCTGTTCTCTCAGTGACTCTGGAGGAGTGGCTGGAGGTTTTCACGGTGAACACAGAAAGGGGCGCTCCGTCCGAGCTGAGCCTCGGGGGCCGTGAGCCTTGCTCTTGGCCCTGCTGCTCATACAGCCCTCTGTGCCTCGCTTCCCTCCCACAGCAAGGAAGGATGACGGGTGCGGGGTCTGCATGGTGGTGCGGGGTCTGCATGGTGGCACGGGGTGGCCACGTTGCTCATGAATCACCTGCAGGTCACCGTGGCTGCAAACACAGCCTTACGCTGGTAAGGCCCTGGGCAGCCACACTGTGACACCCGGGACGCCACACCTGGCGTTTTCCAAATGAATTGAACGGGTAGGAATTTCCACATCCCCGGATACTTCACGGATTTGCGGATTTGCGGAGGGACTGGCCGTGCAGCTCTGCAGAGAGCTCCTCCCACACGCACTCAGGCACACACAACTCTCACCTGCAGCCTAGGCCATCAACACCTGATGCTCACGGAACTTTCTGGAGCTTCCAGGGAGTGACACGAGCTTCCCCAGGAGCTCTGCGTTTCCTGGGAAACTCTGTTTCCCAGGGAGCTCCTTCCCTTCCAGGCTCCACATCTGCGGTGACAGCTGGGAGGCCTGGGCTCGGAGCAGTGACCTTTCCTCACCTCTCCCTGGCACGTCTGTGCCTCTGCCCCTGTGGCATTTGGAAGCCCCCCCACAGCCGCCACACACACCACTGCCTCTGCCGCAGGACATGAGTGGCGGCTGCCAGATGACACCTGTCTGCTGGCCAGAGCGGGCGCCTGACCTCGCAGGCCTGCGCTGGAGGCTCTGCAGGTGGGGAGGGCAGTGTGCAGTGGCCATCTGGCACGTCCCAGAGGCTCCTGGCCTGGGTGGTGACAGATTCTCCTCGCCCCTGATGGCCCACACTCAGGATGGGCTGGTCTTGCATCCTCGGGCCCCGTGTGAACGTGGAAATTCCCAGCTCCTGCCACCCTCCCATCCTTCAACACAGGGACAGGAATGCAACTCTCCCGGTGGCGGCGACCACCACCTGCAGGGGCCTGCTGGCCTCCCCTTTGCACCTGGCTCAGGGGCCTGCTGGCCTCCCCTTTGCACCTGGCTCAGGGGCCTGCTGGCCTCCCCTTTGCA